GATGCTATTTTCCACAGACTTTCTAAAGTGCGATAGTATTTTTAATATTAAAGTAGGCTTCACAACCAGCGCTTTTTGTAGAGACTTTGCGAATATATATCTTTTTTACGTCACCTGGCACTCACCACTGCCACCGTGCAATGAAGGCGCGCGGCTGCACGGTCATTGCGCTATCTGCTCCCGTGCACCACACCCGACAGATGCATGCGCGCACGGTACATAGCCTTTTAGTCACTTTTATTGCATGTAAAGTATGTATTTGTTTGGATATATGATAAAAGTATTATTATAGCAAAGCCAAATTGTTAAATGTTAAAACATTACAACATTTTGTCTAATAATAAATACCAGCCTTACAGTACCGTGCTATTGGCTAATATTTGGACGCAAGTAATTGGTTAAAACAATATAATTTGCTAACACACTCACAGTTTGCAAAATGGTGGGCCCTACGTGCAAGCAATGCGAGGTGAAGATTGACCCGCTTCTGCTGAGCCCGCAGCGGTCTACAACGGATGCCCGGGCGGGCTGCGTCGGTTGCGGGAAGCTGCAGTACGGCTACGCATTCCGTACAATCAGTGGGCAGGTCATCGTGCGGCGCTGTATTGCCTGCGAGAACGGCCCAAAAGCGGTTGAGTTCTGGGAGGAAAAGCTGGTTTGGCCGAAGTGCGCCGCCAGGAAAGCCTGGCGAACATCAAGAAGGCGATGGGTCCTGACTGGTACCCCAAGAAGGAGAAGAAGCGCAGTCGCCTTCGCAAGCTGACCGCCCGAAACGTCAAGTACATCGAGCAAAAGAAGCAGCAGAAGAGAAAGTAATTGGTAAATATACCCTTTTAGGCCCCCATTTTCTTACCTATTTGTGTATTTAGTATACCCGACTACAGTGCGAGGGTTGGAGCCGCACATACGGCAAGCTGCCTTTGGCACTGCCAAACGTTTTGACGCACCTACAGAGCGTAGCACGTTTCATTTAATAATTAACACGTGCTATCAACTGTGTACCGCTGCAAGCTGACCGTCCCTATCCACATAGGCGCCACCGTAGATGAAAAGTACACTCGCTCACTTGGACACACGCAAATCCGTGCTACGTGTACCATCAACGCTTACGGTGTATATTCCAGTAATGTGCGCTCATAAATTAAACTACAGTATGTAGTGAGCTCTACGCGCGACGAATAATTTGCTGTCTACACAGACACGAGCATGTGTGCGGTAATGCAGATCATACAAGTGGATGTGGCAAGTTGATGTGTCTGTACGCAGTACCGTACTTTAGTGCCCTGCTCAAATTGGTCGGGATCAGAGCTGGGGATGGCTATACGTGTACCCGCCGCGCGGTCATCTATCATGTATCTCTGCGGTATGGCATGTGCCGAGTTAGTAACGCGCCTGGTCATATAGACTGGTACATCAGAAACGTAAGCACAGTAAGCCAGCACGACGACGCAAATGTACCAAGAGAGCGACAGTGACCCTATACATAGGTTTTGGCTCTCACGAGCGCGTGGTATACACACTCATTAGCGACCTTGCGATATATGCACGGACATATCAAATAGCACGCCGAGTTGATAAGTAGGCAGCAAATGTACTTCATAAAATGTACAGTACATGAGCTACATTTCAGATTAAGTCAAAACACCACTACAATTTGATACTCTGTCTACAGCCATGTGGCTTTGTGTGTTTGGCATACATTTAGGAACCAGTAAATGCCAGTCGGAAAGGACCTACGCCACTCTGTCGGCCCGTATTTATGTACATACGTCAGTAAGTGCGTCAGCTATGCAAGTATGATCAATGCATGCGAAAGATAGTGGAAAGGCCCTTCTCGCTGTCCGTTGGTGATGGCGTTGTTGGCACAGGCGGCGATGTCAAGATTGCTGCAGGTGCGAGCAGTGCTAGTAGTGGTGCCGGTGGTGCCGGAGGCAATGTGAACATTGCAGCTGGTGGTGCCACGACGTCAAGCAGCGGCTCTGGTGGAAAGATTGACATCACGAGCGGCTCATCTGCAGGCACGGGCAGCAGCAGCGGCCTAATATACTTGCGATCTGCTTCGAATGGTGCATCTGGAATGGTGACCATGAGCTCCGGTGTCAGTACTTCTGGTGTATCGGGAGATGTGAAAGTAGCCTCTGGAGCGAGTACTGGGGGTGCCAGCGGCCTGGTGACCGTGACTGGTGGGGTCGGTACTGGCGCCGGTGGGGTTGGAGGTGCAGTGTCGATCTTGGGTGGTTCGACAAGTGATGCTTCCGGTGCTGGTGGCAAGGTCTCCGTAGTTGGAGGTGCGAGTGGTGCAACAGGCACTGGTGGAGCCGTGATGCTAACTGCAGGTGCTGGGGGTAATGCTGGTGGTTCGTTGTCTGTTGGCACTGGAAGCACAACAAGCGGCACCAGCGGAGGTTTGTTGCTGACGACCGGGTCGTTGAGTAGTCCAGTGACTGCGACTAGCTCTAGTGGCACTGTTACGGTGCGTTCTGGCCCAGCATCCTCCGGATCGAGTGGCTCGGTCAGTTTGTCGACTGGTGCATCTACATCTGGAGGCACTGCAGGCGCGATAACGCTATCTGTTGGGATCAGTGACGCTGGCGCAGGCGGCGACATCAAACTTGCTGCTGGAGTGACGTCCGCTTCGAATAGTGCGGGTGGAGTGGTTACAATCACGAGCGGATCGGCGTCATCCTCGACGAGCAGTAGTGGCCAGGTGTCTATCAGCTCATCCACAAGCGCCATCTCTGGTGCGGTAACTGTCAGCTCTGGTGTCAGCAACGCTGGGATATCTGGCCCGGTGACACTTGCGTCGGGTGCAAGCACTGGTGGCGCAAGCGGGTTGGTTACTGTGAGTGGTGGTAATGGTATCGGATCCGGTGGAGTTGGCGGCGCAGTATCTGTCGTGGGTGGCTCAACGACAGACGCTTCAGGTACAGGCGGCAAGGTGTCTGTGTCCGGTGGTAATGGTGGCAGTACGGGAACTGGCGGCGCTTTGGAGTTGACTGGTGGTGGCGGAGGCAGCACTGGTGGGGCCCTGTCTATTGCGAGCGGAAGTACGCCGAGTAGCATCAGTGGAGCGCTGTTGTTGACGACGGGTGCGTTGGGTACGTCGGCGACGGCGACGAAATCGAGTGGTGCTGTGACGATCGCTTCTGGCTCTGCGTCTTCAGGCTCGAGCGGCTCGATCACTGTGTCGACTGGTGCCTCGACCAACAATGGGGTGCCGGGAGGCCCCCCAACACGGCTGGCCGATTGCGTGAAAGCACTTGGATGCCAGAAAGGGCCGGAAAACTGCACCGAAATCATCACCACACGCTGCGACTATAGG